AGGCCGATTGGACCTCTTGTTTGTATTTAATCTATATGAATCATTTTAGGGATAAAAACAAATATCTAAATATGAGGTGAATAGAAAACTTAAAAACTTTTTTTTTAATCCATTGTACAAGTACAATATTAAACTAATCTCATACGTAAACACTCAAACAGCATAGTTTCCTTACAAACATGAAGTTAGTTTGATCCCTGTATGCATCTTCATTTCAGTTAAACTCAATTATGAAATGAGAAAAGAGGATTCTCCACCTAGGTAAGTTTTGTTGTCTAAACTTCTCACATACAGAATGAGTGAGAGACTGGTTTTTATATGCCCTTCAATAGAAGGGATGTATTATGTAATCACGTGAGCGGGCGATTGGTCTGGCACGCACAGTGTCCGCTCGATATCTTGAGTAATTTTCAATGGATTTAATTCAAACTTCATGTGAAGGTTAATGTGTGATGGGCGTATTATGTACTGCTTTACAATAACCTTGTTAAAACTTAGTAAAATTGTTCTTATTTTATAAGTTTCAATTGTAGCAGATTAACTTTGCTGGAAAAATGTCACATTCTTAATTTGGATAAGGTTAAATGAAAAATAGTCATTATAACTTACTTCAAATAGGCTTTTAAAACCTTACTAAGAAAAAAATATATTTAGTGCAAAAAATATTTAAAATATAATAGCTTTACAGTATAATTTCTTCAATTTGCGGAAGAAATGTGAAAATTATTTAAATAAGTTCAGTGTGTGGTTATTGAATGTTTCTATTTTAGGCAACCACCACAGAAAATGAAGATGGGTGACATGTTTGATTTACCAGAACCTGAAAAACAATCGGTGAAAAGAGAGAATGAAGGTATTTAACTCCCAATAAAAACATGTATCCATATTTTTAGCATTGTGCTAATCAACAGTGAATGATATCATTTCAAGTATACCTATATCCCTTTCTCTATTTCCTTGCTATACCTCCATATACATGTTGTTAAAAAGATTTCATTGTTTATAGGATTATGGTTGCCTTCTAGCTAAGCGCAAGAGGGAATTTCCCTTTAGCTCAATCGGTAGCTGGAAACTTGGGGCCGGGGTTCGATCCCCGGTGGAAGCATACTACTCTTATTCATGTTACCCTATTACCAAACTAGCTCAATATGCAGAGAAAATATAACAACAATCAAAGTTAGTCCGGCTGAAGAAATAGTCTCTATAATATTTTGCTTATGTAATCTTTAACATAAGTTTCCCTTAACAGTTTTTATATGGTAAGTCATCGTGTATGTAGTACAGGTAAAAACAGAAAAAGGTGATGTAATATTATTTCAGGAAAGTAGAAGTTTGTGTCATTGAACAGTTCTACCTCCTATCACAATGTAGTCCAGTGCTTGTGTATTAGAAGGAAAACGTCAGGTTTTTCAAGTACGAATTTGTTGATTCTGATACCAATGAAGGTTAAACCCCAAGAGAATTCGATACTGATAAGCTGCTTCTAGTTTATCCACCAGAGGACCTGCACCTACGAGAAACTATTGAAAGATTTGCAGTCCAAGTTGCAGAGAATGGTTCCGAGTTTGAAGGAAGAACCATGTGCGAAAATGTCAGCAACCCTTCATATTGGTAGGTATTATTCCCCATCATTATGTTTTCATGCTCCCCTCATTTTAATTGGGGGAGGGGGCTTTGATTAAACAAAATAAGAATGAGAATACCTGAGATGAGTTCATAATTCGAGGTTCCAAGGTCAAGGCCTACTGGTCTCTTATACTGTTTATAGAAAAAACAAATTCAGTGTTGTCACTGTGGTGTCTTCATTTCTCAATAGATTTTTATCATTAAACAAAGTATGAGAATATCTGGGATGAGTTAGTGTTTCAGGTTCAAACGTCAAGACTCACTGATTATTTTTAGAAAGGAAGGTCTCAGCAGCATTCATGTCTTGACATTTTCTAGTTCCTGATAGATGTATTCCTTGTCCAAGCCCTCACCTTTTGACTTCTTTAAATGTCTTTTCTGTCTCTGTATGGATTGTCACCAAATTTTGTGTTTTCTGTGCAACATATTTTCCATTTATGTATTGATTTCCACCACATTTTGTCTTTTGTTGCATAAGGTTAATGTTCTAGCCAAGCTTAAATATCATTAGGTTGGGTTTAAAGGGTTCAGCATCATATGAACATCTGAGGTCATTTAAGGACGTATTTAATAATAACAGATTTAATGAGGTTACAGGCAACGTTATGAGTCATACTTAGTGTTTGTACATTATAATGATTGAAATTAATTCCTTGAATTTAGTGTTTTTTGAAGCAATAACATGACATTTAACAGGTGTAGATGTAGGCTCCCCTGGTCCTTATGTTGATCGTAATAACGTTTTCATTTATGCTGCTCATGAAGTTTTGGAAGAGGAATAGAGATGGTTCATAAATTTCAAGCACAATTTTTTCAGCTTTGCATAAAAATGTCTATTGTGAGTGTGTCTTTATGTTGCCAGGTTTCTGTTCAACCAAAGCAGTGATGCCTACAAGTTCTTCCGTCAGCAGGTCAAACAGTTGACGAGATGCATGGGACGACTGGATGATGGAAACGAGGGAGACATTGAGGATGTTGAAGGTGATTTGTTATCTTAAGGCTGTTCCATAAGTACTGGATACCAGAAAATAATCCTTGTGAAATCACCACACTTTACCATTAAAGTTAATATCCATGTGTTATATCCATGTGTTATAATAAATTTCAACCGTTACCATGGAAGCAATAGATACTGTATGGTAAACCTTCAGTCAACTCCACTTAACAGAAGTTCAACCACATCTTGTGATAGATGTAACCCTGCTTGTTGATCTCCTACCTATCACTGAAGGAGACTATAGGTTTGCACTCCATCAGTTGGTCTGTCTATCAGCCAATCAGTCTATGCACCAATTGTTTCACTGCACAACCCATAAACTTGTTTATCTATTATTGCCAAATTTTGTGTATGTGTACCTGTTGGGATGATGCAGTGTGACATACTAAAATCAAGTCTCTTGCCCCATTATATACGAAGTTGTGGCCTTTTGTTCACTGTGCGCCCGCAGGTAGAGAACACCGGATTGCATGCAAACTCTGCCTTGTTTAAATTTATGTTTAAGTACAAAAAGAATGGAATCATTAAATTCCAGGTCCGATTTTGACTAACAGGGTCGAATCTCAGCCTTACAAATACAAACAGTAATGTTGGGATATTGGGTTTACTCAAGCTTGTATGGGTGACCATTGTAGCCTACTGTTGTAAACAACATATATGCCGCATGTTGTAGCATTGATACAGTTATCGACATGCATGCACCAGCTATTAACTTGAGGCCCCAACTATGTATGAATCAAATTGTACTGTTCATTATGAAGAATGGAACATTGAAGCTGTAGTATCACCGTAACAATAAGTACTCGCATAAAATCTTCATATTAAAAAAAGTTGAATTACATCAGTTTTCACAAAGGTAGTTAATTTTAACTCAGATGTTTATGGTTTGTAATGTGATACATATGTGAGTTTCCACTTGAGAAGATGATATCCGCACTAGTATTCACACCACATTCTGACAGATTTTGTTATGTAGATTGATACTGTGAGCTTCAATAGAGATTGTGTCTAGTACATCATGATATTGTTATAGTGGTTGTTAGATTAAAGTTGTGCCAGAGTCACTAAATTATTAGATAATATACAACTATGTTTGTCTGTTGTGATGTTACACCAATCTGATCCCCTTTTCTCAGGAATGGAGAAGAGGGGAGAAAAACTGAGGAAGAAGCGGAGGAGTAGATGGGCTGATTCAGAAAGCGGAGGTGATGCCGGTTCAAGCCAGTCTGCTTCTTCTCAAGACCCTTCAGAGGCAGGGCCAGGTAAGCGCAATTACATACAAATATGGAAGTGGATGTAGTAAGGGGGTGTACCTTCCTGTCTTAGTAAAGTCTCAGTGAAATTCTCTTGTAGCAGGCATCTATTTTCTCACTGTTAAGTTACCTGTAGGTGGAATAAACCCAGTCAATTTTACCATTAAAGGACTTTTTTTCAAAAACGGTTGCACAATCCAAAGAGGAGTGCTCTTCATCCTCAACCTGGCAACCATTTTGATATAGTGACTGCAAAACACAACACTTTGTTACTTTCATTATTATGACTGTATTTAAAAAATCCAATGTCTGCCTTTATTTCAAACAATGTTTTCATGCGAGGAGCAATGGGAGAAATCTCATCTCTATGGTCTGACATCACAATAAGAATGCAGTTTAGATATAAGCAATTCAACAGGCTACTGAACTACATGTATTTACATATAAGACCTTTACTGTATTGACTCTACTAAATAAACAAACTAAACAGAATGTTACTTTAGGGGAACATAAGAGAAACATTGTTGTATTATAATGATATTCTGCAATGTAAAGTACAGTAAGACATATATAGAACAATTGTTTAATTTTATTTATTAGGGCCCCGTATCGGAGATACGGGTACCCTATAGTAATCA